CGTGCAGGATTTAAACCCGCGGCCCTTAGCGTTGCAGCTCAAAATAAGTCACTGCGCCACGAAGCCATCCAAGTGTGGACGTAACGTTTTAAAAAAAAAAGGAAGCCTAGAAGACGCAGTATTTAATATTAATACAATAAGGACTGCAATAAATAAAATATAAATGAGATATAATATTATAATGTACTATAGTACATAAGTTATACTTCGATACAGTAGGCAAGTCATACCAACAACATAATGTACTTATAGATATACATAATATCATATATCAGGTATAATCTTATACAACAGACTTGTTGTCGCCGATTCTATATAAAGCGCTTACGTGTCCCCCTGTATACGTACTGAAAGCTGCTACATAATTATATTTACGCTCATACGCAACTTCACGGCTTTAAAAATAAGGCACAATATTGGATATTTCAGCATTCAAATAATTTTGTGGTTGTGAACTCGTTACTCAATAATAAGTATGTTCGTATACAACTTTGTTACATTAGACAAAAGTGCGAGTTTTCTAATGCACTTTTGTAACTATACATTGTTTTTATCAACCCGTTACTATGTTTAATTTTCTTTTATTTTTTCCTAATGGCTTACGTATTAAGGTTTAAACGTTAAACAACTGTGATATCGCGGCTGTAATGTTGATAATGTTTTTTTTTCTCTCGTTAAAATATATTTTATATTCGAAATGTACTTAAAATTTTATTCCATGCTCTTACAATTTAACTTATAATTTATGTTTTCTATGGTCTACTGGTCAATTGGGTACAATGCAACAGCCTACTAGTGAATAATGAGTCATAATATTCCGGCTTGCAACCAACAGTAACCTACGCTGGACTGGGATTTCTTACAGTGTCGTGATGGATGCCATATTGTATAGGCCGGGATCTATAGTGCCTGAGACTGAAAACTCTATATACTTTGAATCCCACTATTTTAGAAGAGTCTTTTGTACTACACTGCCTCTAGTACTACGCATGTTCCCTGAATATTCATGTTTCTCAGATGTGATTCCTCAAGACGTTTTCTAAAGAAAACATCGTGAGGAATCACGTCGTCAGGGTAAGCATTCCGTAGGGTTGGCCTATATTTAGCAGCGGTTTTGTGAAGTGCTGTAATGATGATGATAATTATCACAATGTGTGATTGAGGTTTATAAGAAAATAAGAATGTCACGGATAATATACGGCAAGACCGCTTATTTCTCCTCGACCACATAAATATAATAAAAACCACTACGTGAATATAATACAAAATGTTTCTAGAGTAAAACTTCAAACCCATTAAAATTTAATTAATTGTGTTACTAGAAATTTCGTTAACATTTTACCGCCCATTAAATCATTTCTTTCCTCAAAGCTTTCATCTGAACATCTTGTCCAATTACGTATTAAAAACTTCCGAGAATTAATATATAAATTATTCTTTCCTCCACTAACCCTGAAGAGATCTATCTAGGTGTAGTGCGTACGTGCACGCTGACACGATATCGACAGATAATAATATCTTAAAATGCAAGTGCTGGCGGTTATTTTGAGCGATGAAGTATTCAAATTAATCTAAAGTAAAAAATATCACGTATGTACTGTTTGTTTCCTTCATATTGTCATTTAAAAATAAAAATAACGCATTTTAAACTTCTTTTTTTTGTAAGAGTACATTGACATTTTGGCCAGTATTTTATATAAAAAGCCTCAAATGTCATTTTTGTCATCATAGATTTAAAATATTACCTTAAGTAGATAATCGCGTTATTTTCAGTAATAAAAGTGATTCCTTTTAAAATCTTAATCTGTGTTTTTGTATTATGGCAATAATTTATTAAGTTTATACAGCAACACACATTTCATTCAGTATCAAGTAAACGTTGAAAACAACAATATTTTTAGCACGAAAAATAGACAACATAGATTAAAACAAATATTTTTCATGGAATGGAATCAATAACATATATTAAATAATGTCTATAACAGAAGACTGATACCGGTGTCCGTGGTAAGAGCTCATTTGTCACCTTAGTTGTAAAGGAAAAACCAGCCCACAGTCTTTAATTTCTTTTCTATAGGTACTGCAATTCATCGTAATGATAACTTCAAACTGAATAAAACTTATAATTTTAGCTTATAAGGACTAAAATTGGGTGCCTCACATCGGAATCACAGTGGCTCCTCAAACCAGAACACAACAGGAGGCGTATTTAAGTATTTAAGCGTAAACAGTGAAATAGATGAAACGGTGTTACCTAGACCACAGAATAAATAATGGCTACACCAACAGCCTGTTACAGAAAAGGTTTTTTTGTAGAATAATAATGGTAACAAACGAGCACACAGTCGACCAGATGGTAAGTGGCTGCTGCGGACCCTGGACAATTAGGTACATCCATCATCGTTTAAGAATCAAAATGCAAATGTCATGTAACGTCTGCGAACTGAGATGGAATGTCTCGTATCCAGTCTTTGGTTCTCTACACTCACACCATACGAAACACAGCAGCATTGAGCTGGTATTTTGAGAGAGTGTGGTCCTTTCTCGGTCGAGCAGACCTGTTCATGCAGACCAGGTTGACTGCCTCGATGGTTTAGTGGTAGTTAGTGCGACTGTTGATCATGAGGTCTCGGGGTCGAATCATGAGTCGGACCAAAATTAGTTAATAGGTTTTTCCGTTGAAAAATTCTCTATAGCAGGAGTCGGAAATTTCACTGTGTTTCACTCCCGTGCCTTAGAACAAAGAAGAAAGAACCTGAAAACCGACTTCTAATTCTAACATCATCACATCCGAAATTTTCAAGAAAGCACTTTATCGGTAAATAAATAATCAACTAAGTTGTGGTTGACTGACCTTGGAACTTTCTCCAAGGTTAGATGTTGTCAATGGAACATTAAAAAGTTTCGCCTGAGAGTACGTAGAATTTAATTAATAAACTCCTTTTTTGAAGCTTCTTAAAATGATGATCAAGTGTTACTTTAGTTATGCAAATTTCAATAGCATACCTACGCAATAACTGGCGGTATCAACTGACAGCTGCAAGTAGTGCATATTCTAACTTGTACATTAACATAACCAACCGAGGCAAACTCCGATAGCACTATCGGCGCATGACAAATAATTTCCTTACGTTTATAACTAACGTAAAACTGCATAATTAGTGATTACTTTATGGGTTACAAAATAGTTATGAGGCTTAAATATATTACTACAGCGAAAATCGAAAACACCAAGGTGTCTTGAACTCGAATATTCTATTTCGTAGATATAAACTTCGAATCCCAAGTGTAAGATTCCAGTTAAATGCGATGTAATGCTAGAAAAATAAGTTAGGTAAATAAGTTGACTCATTTTTTTATAATTAACTTATCTTACTGCTGTTTGAAAGTGAGAGAGTTTGAAAGTGTTCAATAGTGACAATGCAAATTATTGCCGTTGTATGTATTTAAGGTAACAAAAGAAGGCTTTAACTTTATTAAAATATTGTTAATCTTTCGCGGGCCTGCATTTGGTTATAAAAGAAAGCCCAAATTACTTAATCGTAGGCAAATATTCTCTATGATCGTAGGTAAAACATAAGCAAAACTTACCTACTAAGGCCTTTTAAGATAAAGCTGACCTGTGAAACAGAGCTACAAAATTATTTCTATAAGCAAAAATATAAAAATATAGTATTAGAAAACAAAAGAAGTGAAAAAGTGTATTAATTGCTGACAACTACTTGTGTGGACCTGTCCTGGAATATTTCCTGTTTTTCAGCAGGTAGTTACAGTCCAAATACGGTCATTACTTACCTTAAGCCGTTGTACTAAAGTTATTTTTACAACACCTTACGCTCATTTCATTTTTTCTAAGCGAAGCTTCACATGTACGAAAACTATCGTAGACTTTACTACAATGTAATATGGTTCGTTTTGTTATTGACAAGAGCATTGTATCTGGAAGCGGAATCACCCCAACTCGTTCCTAACTTCTTGCCATCTCACTCCTTCACTTGCCCATTTCGCTCGCACACACCACGCTGATGAAAGTCACGTAGGCCGAAGTTGGCAACCGAACCGAACGTTTCCCTTTTTGCACTTTGCTTTTATATTGCCTGTATTTGTTGTATTTTACAATTGTAGTTAAATTATTCTGTATTTTAAAATGGTATAAACTTAAAATCATACTCTACTTAACCTAATTGTTTATTTCATTAGTATAATCGACTTATAATATTATCTTAATATTTTTGTTTTGTTGTAATATTAGACAACACAGCGAAAGCGGGCGACGTAGTGCTTGATTATCGGTTAAAACATGTGATTCTCTGCAGTACATTCATAGAGAATTTGTAGTGTAACAAAGGAGGATATTTGAATTTATATTCTGATATAATTTAGTAACGTTTGTTCGGGGTATGTCAGGATGTATGTCAACGCAATCACGCAATCATTCTTAAAGCGATAAATATATTATATATTAAGATGACAGGACCCGTTTTTTTTTTTGTTTTCGGCGTTGTCCGTGTAGTCATAGAATTATTATTAGAACTCTTGTTCTACTAATAATTCTATGAGTGTGTTATATAACGGTAAATAGTTATTTTTATACGTCCATGGTTAAGAGAAGAAAAAGAAATTTGATGTAGTTTTTTTTTTGAGAAAATTATACTACATATTAAATGAAGAAAAAAAAAATGTGTTTCAAAATGCGATGTTTTTAATTTTATGTATAAAAATTAAGTGACACTTCAATGCTTTATTAACCAAAACTACAAAAAAAAATCTACATAATATTAGTTAAATACCATTTATTACAATTGCTAGGCTAGGATTGTCGATTAAAACTAGAATACCTAATAATTTATTTAAGTTACAGACATTATATTGTCTGTTAACAATAATTACGTTAACAGACAATATCAGTAGGTAAAAAAACTGACAATTATTGATATAATCGTTTAATTTAACACTTCGTAACTAAGAATGATAAATATGTAAGTCAAAGTTTTTTGTCTTTAACTACAGTTCTCATGAGACTGGCTGATCCGACCTTCGTTATTACTAATCCCAACCGAGGTGATTAAAGCCACAATCTTCGGCTGCAACTCCAGGGCTTTCTGCATTGGCATACTTCTCAGCATTGACGATATATACTTACCGAAGCTGTCGAAACAGTCGTCTCGCTGATTTGTCAACACATGTAATTGAGTATTTATATCTCTCAATGTAACAGCAAGAGATTCATTGTGCAAGTCGTCAAATTTCCGCTTTTTCCCAAATTCATTATGCCCCAAAGGCTTTGCAAGTCCACACTCAAGGGACTCTTCATATTCGCTACCAGAAAAATTATCCCTCGATTTGCTAGTATCGGGAACGATCACGTCCTCTGGATTAGTCATCTGCACCCATTCCTGCGCCTCCGGTTCCTCCTTTATAGTATCGGGAACGATCACGTCCTCTGGATCAGTCATCTGCACCCATTTCTCCGCCTCCGGTTCCTTCTTTATGAACACACTGGATTGATCGTCCCCGACCGAACTCGTTCGATTGTCCATTTTCTGTAAATAAAGATTACATTAGTGTTAAGGGTACAGGTTATGTAAACATTGAACGTTACGCCAAGTTGACTCATGCGATACTAAGTCAAGGTCGCGCGCGAGACTGGTTTGTAATGGCACCGATTGAGCGAGGCGTTATCGCGAAAACGTACCAACTTCAGTTCCCGGGTCTGGTTCAAATGGGGGCGGATGAACGAGTCCATCGTGTTGAACCAGAACACTTTCGGCTTGTAGGTGTTCCCCTCACCGTTTGCAGCGGTGGCGGCGATCTTTTTGAGCTCTTGGCAGTACGAATTACGTAAATTCTTGAACTTGATAATAACGTGGCGCGCGTTGAAGTGTTTGATGTCGAGAGCCTTTGCAATCCTCTCGGCAGCTTCCTGACGTTTGAATCTGTTCTTGTAGACGGCAGTGTGGGTGTTCCAAAGGCATTCTTCCTTTTTGTACAGTTCGATGAGCTGTAGAGTTTTATCGTCGCTGATGCGCAGGATTGCGTTTTGCGTGATATCTTTTATTGTTTGCATGTTTTTTTTAGGTCTTATTTTCACGTACGGCTCCATAAAGCGACTGCTCAGGCGGCGTGACCACGCCTTACTGAGCGGCCTGGGTTGGCTGGCCCGCTGGCCTGACGCGACCCTAGCGATAAATTCGCTTACGCTTGGAACGTCAGTCTTTATCCTTATTTAGCCGCTCGTCACGCTTTTGCTCCGTTTCGTGCCACGTTCGCTGGTCTATTCTTATTGTCATGACGTCACGCTAAGGCCTGGGACGCACCTCAAAGAATGTCCGAGTCTAAAAAAAATTATAACCAGCGGATAGTGTGTGGGAAATATAATGCAATTACATATTTTAAAATTATTATAAATTTTATTGTTGTTAAACTAATTTCATGTTTATACTGCATACCTACCATTCTTAACCGAGCCACTACAGTACGGAAACTAAGCCTACATGAGGACAAAATTTCCTACGCTCCATTGAAGCAATAGGGTTGTGATTTTTAATGTTTTTGATATATTTTATTTACATTTTTGTTCTGTAGTGATTAATCAATTAAATTTAAATAATTAGTTAACAAATACAATTTAAATAGGTAATCTCATAACGGTCGGTTAATCTCAACAAAAGGCAATAGTTTAAACACGGAAAACAATCAACAACTTGTAGAACTATAGATCTTTAACTTTGTCATTACGGCGCAACCTTTTACAAATTTTGGCGGGAGCGTACGCGAGACGCGGTTAGACGAAAACAGCGCAGGTGGCGCGCGGGCAGGGCTCATGAGCGGCTGCGAACCCTACTGACCGTACAGAAAAAGAAACTTTTTTATTTAATATGGATTATAAATAATACTAATTGAAAGTCACTTTTTTCATTTACCACTGGTTCGCAAAAAAAACCTCTGTCCTGGGAAGAACCACTCGCTGAAAATATTAAATTTTCTTCTGTCTGTGTACAATTATCAACCAACTTTGGAGCTTCGGTTAACGTTTCTACATCTTTTTTTGTAGATCTGGTAGATGAAGAGATGGTAATGAATTGATTTTTAGCTTTTTGCGCCGTGGTCCTGTAAGAATATCCATAGCATTAAAATGTTCTTCACAAACGGTATAATTTTGTGGCGGTTTGTTCATCAAATCTTCTCGAGCAATCAAGCGAAGCCATTGGTAACGTCTGAAAAACATAACAAAATATTATCTTTGTCATTTTCATCAGAGTTGGTATAGGTGTAGTAATCTGTTTATGTTTAATGAACAAAAAATTCAAGCTAGTTGCCACTTTTATAACTCAAGAGGAAGTTAAAGAATTACTTTTGTAAAAAAAACTGTCCTATTTTATATACAATTTTACAGCACTATCGACTTCAACACCCTCAAAAACTATTAAAATGACACCAAGGACGAAAAATTGATACCTATTGCAGCCGCCATCTTTGATTTACATGTCGACAGCAATATCGGCTTCAACACCCTCAAACCCAGGAAAATGATACCCATGACGAAAAAGTTGATACATATTGCAGCCGCCATCTTGGATTCACGTTTTCACAGCACTATCGGCTTCAACACCATCAAAACTATGAAAATGAAACCCATTACGAAAAAATTGATACATATTGTAACCGCCATCTAGGATTTACATATCGACAGTAATATCGGCTTCAACACCCTCGAAAAACCATGAAAACGACACACATGACGAAAAATTGATACCTATTGAAGCCGCCATCTCGGATTTACATTTCGACAGTACTATCGGCTTTAATACCCTCAAAAACCATAAAAACAACGCCATCTTGGATTTACTTTTTGTTACCACTATTGCTTAAGTTCACGAATTCATTATGATCGATCACACGTAGTTAAAATTCGATAAGGATTATTACAATAACAATAAACAATTCTTACCTTTCAAAATCAGTAGGAAGTTTAAAAAACGATAGCTCCGGTTTTGACAAAGACGAGTTCATACAGCCGTATACTACGCAATACGTTCGTGACATTTTAAAAAAGATCGTGGAGATAAACGTTACTACGCGTCTTGACACGGCACTCGCTAGTGAGACTGAGTTCACCGCGACATTCGCTTAGGAGTCTCGTAGTAGTGCATGTTTTTGTGAGTGTGAGTGTGTCGTTCTGAGCGTTTGTAGTTAATTTCCGTACTATTCCATATTTAAACTCTTGTACATTTATTGTTCCGTGCTTTAATATAAATATTTTTTGTCAATTCATTATTTTATTTATTAATTAAAACTAATTAATTTTCAAGCAATACAATTCCAAATTAATTCATCAATGTACATGTGTTGAAGTTTTAAAGATCGCTTGAAATATATCCAGACCCGGAACAATGATTTATAGGCCATACAAATACTTGTTCTGTACGGGATTCGAACCTGCGGCTTTTAGCGCCGCAACTCAAGCAATCAGCTGAATTAATTACTATGAATTTATATAGAATTCCTAACACAAATAGCATTTAATTTACAGAGCACACGGTGATCTCAAAAAATTACGGTTACGGCCTTCTTCAATTTCGGCGTTATGCAAATTTAGCTATTTTACGCATCGAGCCGGTGACGAACTACGAGAGCGATACTTTATTTCATATCTATTCACTCGCTCGCACTACGATACTATGAATATAGCGACTAAACGATCTTGATCTTCCATAATACAAGTTGTCTTAGGATGGAGTTCAGTGGATGGAAATTTTTTGGTATGTCGTTCTAACGTTATCTAATTAATTTATTATAATCTATTTTGATATATTTTTCATTATTTACGAACCTTAGTGTTGAAAATAAATATTTTAATTGTTACACAGTAATCGATTGTTAACCGATGTCGGCTAATTATCAATTATGTCTACTACCGGTAGCACAGTAATATATATAAATAAATAGTACGGTTACAACCTGTTTTAATATCGACTTAAAAATGATCGACTTAAAAATGATATTTTCAAAGATTAAAAATTCGCGACGATTCGATTAAAAAAGCGCCGACACGCATTGCGCACAAAATAAAAGGTTCCGTAATCTGGATTAAATAAAGAAAATACAAACTTACATTTGCAGTTGAAAAACATGTTCTATCATACATTGTGATTAAGAAAATATGTTATGCAAGTACGTTTTCTAAGTTGGTCGACTATTACTCGTATACATATTTGTTGACTACGGAATTCTAAATACTAAAGTTTAGCTATTTTCAGTTTGAAAAGACATGAGCGTAGTAGCGAGTAGACTTAAAAACTGTCGAACTTATTCTCTCCACTACAACATATAAAATGGTATACATTAGTCTCTTACCATGTCCATCGAATCGACGAGGTTACTTGATGTTGAAGCAACAAGATTCTCCGGATTACCTCGCTTTTTCATTCTAAAATAATAATAAAGCATTAACACCTACTTATTTTTCTGTACACATGATCTGTTCTTATCGTGGTTCACTATTCTGTATAGGGTCAGTTAAATTAGCTGATGTAGTTTACCCGGTGATGACAAAAGTGATGACAAAATGCTTTATGAATGTTTAGATTACGGTAGGGGCCATGAACTTTCTACGGATGGTACCAAGACAAAATAATTTCGCTGCGGGAAACAACCATTAAAATTTTATCGGATTTTTAAAAATATATGTATTTAAAACATTTCACACACGAAACAATCAGGTTTTACCAAGTTTTGGTCTCTCTATCAAAAACCGAGTGAAAATTTTATACAAAATAAGAACTAACCTTGCAAAAGCAAGCCTTGCTTTCTCCAGAGATTGGATATTTCTTCTTTTACGTTTACGGATGCATTGGTACTTGTATTTATTTTTCCCCATTCCAACTGGTAAGAATGTTCAGCTGCAATCAATATAACTATAATGAGCTAACTATATGGTATATTAATAAATAATAATGTGCGCGAACTTTATACTGTAAGAAAGTAAATAAGTACTTACCTACAACGATCAAAACTGCGATCGTAGTTGACGATGCTCTAGCACGCACACAATTACAGCGCCTCTACAACAATCGACGCACACTATGTTAGTATCTAATTGATGGAACTCGCTAAATAAACTGACGCAGGTTCAAACTCGACAAGCGCTCGCGCGATACTTATCACAGACGCCCCGCCCCTTAGGAGAAATATTACAAAAAAAAATGCGAAATTACAAGGTTTCCTCGTTGAAATTATACTTTTTCTGTTCGTTGCTTGAAATAACAATTACTTGGCAAAAATAGTTCGTTTTCTCTACTACAATAAGCTCAAGGCAAATTTTAGATAACTTATTTTTTTATTCAGTAATAACCATTCTCCCGATACATGTTTAGGCCAAAACACTGAGAGACATGATATAAGAGCTCTAATTTGTGGATTCTATTGAATATCCACCGTCAAAAACAATATTTTTTATCTAACAAATATCCTATACTTTAATAATGATACAATACATCTTCGTTATATGCCTTTCACGTAAGCAAAAAATATCGATGTAATTCAGTTAACGACCGAATAAGTTTCCATACAAACCCCAATATCTACGAAGATCTACATCATTTTGACGTAAAATTTATACCAAAATAATCAGTAACATTTGCTTAAACTATACTATGATTTTTACTTTTTAATTCGTTACTATTATTTTTAATTAATTAAATAAAAGTACCATATATTTCATGTGCATTCACTATTCGTTTGATTTATCGTCTCGTTTCGATATTATCGTAGTGAACGTCAATTCTCCTTAAGGCGCTGCTATTTTGGCCTGTGTTCCGACATAGAATTCAAATACGATCGCATTTTTTGATCGTTGAAAGTATTTACTTTCGTACAGTACATTTCAATTGGTATAAAGTTCGCACATTATTATTATACCAGATAGTTAACTCATTATAGTTATTTTGATTGTAGCTGAGCTTTCTTATCAGTCGGAATGGGGAAAAAGAAATACAAATATCAATGTGTCACTAAACGAAAAAAAGAAATATCCTATCTCTGGAGAAATAATAATGGAGAATAAAA